GCTGCTGCCCAAGAAAACCGAGAGCCACAAAGCCAAGGGCAAGTGAGGCTGCTGCATCCCCTGGGGGAGAGACGTTCCCCCCACGACTCGATCTGCGTGAACCCAAAGGCTCTTTTAAGAGCCACCCACACATTCATAAAAAGAGCTTCAGTCCTCTAGAGTTTCTAGAAAAACATACATTACTATGGAGCTGTGGTACCGAATTGGGACTGTTCATGGTGTAAACGGAACAGAAAACCGTCTGTCCCATTGGTATAGAGGAGAAACAGCCACAGAAGCGGGTAAAGATGGAGGTTTCTTTTTAAGAACTGAAAGGGGTAGATGAAAGCTGTGAATTTCTCTCCCCGGTTGTGAGGTCAAGAGCTGGAGCTGCCCCGTGACTGAGAAGGCAAAAAATAATGCTGGGAGTGAATGGATAAGACAAGTTCCCTTTATTTCTGTCTCTGGCATAACATCCTTCTCTGGCCTGGCTGGGAGTGAGCTGCAGCCGGGTGGAGAAGAAAGGAAACATTGTTTCCAAGGGCGGGTTTTTTGCAAACCTCTTCATCTCCCACCCTTCCCCCTACACCTACTTCCCCCTCCGTTCTTCAGCAGCCACAAAGCGAATTCACTCCTTAGAAAACGTGCCCCTGTGTGTGTACGTACCAGAGATGCATAGGGTCACACACGCAGCCTCCGGCATAGAATCCAGGTTCTCAGGACATGTTGTGCTTTAATCACATTAGATCCTAATTCCCCTCCCTAAACAACCACCTGGATCCTGCTCCTACTGGAGTCAATGAAGGGGGAAGAGACTGATTTTTCACTGGATTCAAAAGGCGCAATCCTGGACTTAAATAAGGTTATCCGGACAGAACAAGCCATGTGGTGAGGAATAGGAGCTCCCCCGGCCCCGTAGACTAGCCTCCCTGTTGCTAGATCCTGTATCAAAGCCCCCGGCCCTGTATATAGGACATCATATAGTATGTTGCCGTGGAAATTATGATCTTCATACGTTTCTAGGTGGGGTTGCAGAGGGGAAACTGCCCCCCTCCCCCGGTATGGGACAGACAGAAATGTTCTGCACGCGTGGCTCACATTGGATTTCACATGTGGAGTCTTTGCTGCCTCTGCATGGCCACAGGGGAGCCCAGGGCCCTTTGCAGGGCCCCGTGCAATGTATCAGCCGTGACCGAGCCCCCCTTGGCGCCGGCACCCCGAATTTGGCGGCAGAGAGGAAGGACCCGCCTGCCACAGCGCTGCGCCACCAGGGGGCCTTGTGTCTCCCCGGGAGAGAGCGACTGGCAGGACCACGGGCACGTGTGAACTAAGGGCGTAAAATCTCCAGCCAATCCCTGTCAAGCCCGGGAAATTCGAATACTGGACAGCCAATCAGAGGAGGGGACTTGGGTGTTAGACATCCTCCTTTCCCCCACCTGACACCCAGCCTTGGAAGGAGCTGGTGGGTTTCAAGTTCCAGCCAATCCCCGTCTAGAGTTACTCCGTTGCCCTAGAGACCCGCCCCCCCCCCCCCCCCCGCACTTCCAAAGGCGAGAAGACCTCAAACCCCAGAAGCCTCCTGCGCCCAACAGAGGGTGCAGCCCCCTATGGCCAATCCGTGCTGAGCCCGGGAAATTTAAACCTCTCAACGGTCTCATGGCTGCTTGTAGCCAATGAGGAGACAGGGTTCGGCTATAAATTGCGCCCTGCAGCAGTAAAGCGCTTATTGCTCTGTGGCTGGACTGGAGAGAGGTTGCTAACGCGCTGTAGTGAGGATGGCCCGTACCAAGCAGACGGCTCGTAAGTCTACTGGCGGCAAAGCGCCCCGCAAGCAGCTCGCTACTAAGGCAGCTCGGAAAAGCGCCCCCGCCACGGGCGGGGTGAAGAAGCCCCATCGCTACCGCCCAGGCACCGTGGCCCTGCGGGAAATCCGCCGCTACCAGAAATCCACCGAGCTGCTGATCCGCAAGTTGCCCTTCCAGCGCCTGGTGCGGGAGATCGCCCAGGACTTCAAGACGGATCTGCGCTTCCAGAGCTCGGCCGTCATGGCCCTGCAGGAGGCGAGCGAGGCCTATCTGGTGGGGCTCTTCGAGGACACCAACCTGTGCGCCATCCACGCCAAGCGAGTCACCATCATGCCCAAGGACATCCAGCTGGCGCGCCGCATCCGCGGGGAGAGAGCCTAGAGCCACCCCCCTCGGAGCCTGCCGGCTCCCTACAACCACCCAAAGGCTCTTCTAAGAGCCGCTACGTGCCCACGCGAAAGAGTTGAAACTCATCCTGATCTGCCTTATCCGCGTTAACTTTTCTAAGTGGCTTTTCCAAACACAGTTAGTGCAAAGATCCTTGTCCTATAAATATTGCAATCGGGTCCATCTAGAAATGTGATCTAGTTTTGATACCCCAAGCTCACTGAAAAAGAAAGTTACCGAAAAGATGTTCAGACCTTTATCATACCCGGGTTTTCAGGTTCTTCCCCCAGCCCCACTTGCTAGCCCAAGTGTTTAGCCGTCCAGAAAATGTCAGTCTAACCCAACCGAGATGAAATTGGAGTGATTGCGTTTACACTCAACTGAGAAGTTGGTAATGAAATGCGGAGCTGGTACTGGTGCGGCTGAAATCGATTTGGCATTTGTGTTGGGGTGACGGATGTTGGTGCGTATAATATAGCAGGGGGGGAAATGAAAACTACGACGGAACAGCATCTTTAAAAGCCTTATCGAGTGACTCCGAAGTCCGCCCCGTCCGCTCACACACCTGTTCCAAGGGTGAGTTTACTATGGATTTTATATATAGAAACTCAAAATCTGTTCTTGGATTTCGAGGGAGCAAAAGATTTCGATGGAAATAAATGCATTTAAAAAGAGTTGACCGAAATGGCCACAAGATGGCGCTGTATCCTAAGACATGTCATGTAGTTGTCTGTACATTGATGCTGAGAACTGACTTATTTTTAACAATACATCCATTGTTTGCACGAGGGGGACAAATATGAGGCTAAACTAATTCCGCCGATATCATGATCATACGGTCGATAAATGGCCAAGACAAATCGATGCAACCCAGACAAGGTCCCCAACTGCTGGGACGTCAACGGACTCCCCATTCATGTGCCTGCGATTCCAAGATTAACCAAAAAGCAACAGAGAGTCCTGGGGCACCTTTAAGACTAACCGATGTATTGGAGCATAAGTTTCCGTGGGTGAATGCCCACTTCGTCGGATGCATGGGTCTAAAGTCCGGTGTAGACACGGCACAGGCTATAAAATAACCGGTGAGAACCACGTGGGTAAGGTAACAGTGACAGCAAGTGTAGATCTACTTGAAAGTCGTTAAAAACACTCGGTGTTTAAATACAGGACGTCCCTGGGTGGGCTCGAACCACCAACCTTTCGGTTAACAGCCGAACGCGCTAACCGATTGCGCCACAGAGACATCTACTTTGCTTTCCCACGTACAACCTCTTCACTTTCCCACGTAGTATTATTTCGTCGCAGTTTTCCCTCTAGGCTAGTGACTTGTTTCTGTTACGTGAGTCGAAGTAATTGCTTCTTCATTATACAAAAGCTCAACGCGGTGAAACCACAACTGAAAGGACGGGAAGACCACCTGTGGGAGACGAGATAAGCTAGTGAGGGAAAGGGCCAGTCATGGATGGGGGGTGGAAATACGAATCAGTGGGTCAGTTTAGCGAATGACCCCCCCAAGCCGGCGGCAGCTCAGACCATGACGAAAGAGCAGCTTGTGGGTTTTTTCCCTCCCTCAAGTAAAATGAACTAAAGGGACATACGAGGAAAAACAGAGCCACTTGGAACCAAATATTAGACGCCTTCTTTGCGCTTTCCTGCCTCCCCCAGTCACAGACTGGTTCACCGACGAGAGGGCGCAAACCAGGCTGGTCAGAGGTTGCATGAAGCAGGGACACCATTCAGTGTCTGGGGCTTTCGAAACAGGAGCTGGCCTGGAGCTCCTCTGCCGCCCAAAGCACAGACATGTTGACTTTTTTGCAGATTTAAATTCGCTTTCGCGTCCGGAAAGAACTACGCGACGCGTGCGGGAAGGAAACCCGGCAGGCGCTGGCAGGTGGGGGCACCTTTAGCGCCCCGTTTGGTGCTGATGCGTTCAGCCCAAAAAGGTAACTAAACCGGAGCCGACGAGGATGGGATTCGAACCCACGCGTGCAGAGCACAATGGATTAGCAGTCCATCGCCTTAACCACTCGGCCACCTCGTCTTCTGTCACTACAGTGAGAAATGGATCTTCATGGGCATCGTATCGGCGTGCTGGGTACCCCAGCTGCAGGCAAACGTGTTACATGGGAAGGAGGAAAACATCTTCCATGAGGGGATGTAGCTCAGTGGTAGAGCGCATGCTTCGCATGTATGAGGTCCCGGGTTCAATCCCTGGCATCTCCAGATTCCTTTTCTCTCCCTTAATTATGTGGAGCAGGGGGCAGACAATGACCCTCCCATCCCACTCCCCCCAGGGGCAGCCTACCTCACTGGCAAAGTGCAGCCCATGTTTCTCAGCCGCTCTGCTCTCAGAGAGGCCTCCCTGAGTAGTTGCAGCCACGTGGGACAAGAAGATCGAAATGTGAGCCACGCTTTATAATCCGGAGTTACCGTGTACAATAAAGTGATTTCAGTTTTGGCGGAGGAGGGAAAAGCCGCTGAATTCTCCCTCAGAGTGCTGGAAAGCGGTGGTGCGTTGCTGGGTTAGAAGGGCCAGCCAGGGCTTTCCTCGCTAAGTTTCTGCAAAGAGGCAGGATTGGTTGGGGCTGCCAACCAGGAGAGAGGCTTAGCAGCCCCCTTTTGGAAAACCTGTAGAGAAAAAGCCTCCACCAGCTCCCAAACCGGGCTGGTCCCTCGTCCAGATGAAGAGCAGCAGGGTCTTGGTATCTCTGAATAGTGCATAGGTGTCAATCATTTCTCCAGGGACCCGGATTTTTCTGTTTTGTTTTGTTTTTTCCAAGACTCCTCTTACAAGCAGCAAATGACAAGTAACGTGGCCAGTTGCACGGGGACCCAGGCCGCTCAAGGGGATCCCGGCCGGCGGTGGTTTGAACAAGGCTGGATATTAATAAAATCCATGTGCAGCCATAGGGGGCTGATGTGGAGTTGCACAAGAAAAGCAGAAGTGAATCTGTTTCCACGGGCGTTGGTGGTATAGTGGTTAGCATAGCTGCCTTCCAAGCAGTTGACCCGGGTTCGATTCCCGGCCAACGCATCTGTGTTTTCTTTTTTAAATAACAAATGGGGTTAATTTCTGAAGAAATGAGGTTTTTACTCACGAAAGCTTAAGCCCAAATAAATCTGTTAGTCTTTAAGGTGCCACCAGACTCCTTGTTGTTTTCCCAACCGTGTTGCCCTTTATTAGCAAATTAGTAACTCAACAGACAAAGACAGCACGGAGCTCCCCGCCCCCCAATACTCCCACTGCCGAAAGCAAGCCCTGACCCAGGCTGGTCATGCAGGCATGGCCGTGGGAATTAACCACAGCAAGGTCACCAACCCACAGCTCCCCTGGCAGGGCTCTTTGCTGCTCTCGTTGGTGCCGGCTGCAAGTGACTGAACGTAAAACTCTGCAACTTGCCGGCGACCCTTCAAGTCAATGAAAAGGAAACCGTGTCAAATCCGGATTCCCCCGCCTCATGCCACCGGTGCAAGAATATGACAATACATGACAGGCATTTATAGAAAGTGGTGCCACCAGCTAGCAGAGTGGCGCAGCGGAAGCGTGCTGGGCCCATAACCCAGAGGTCGATGGATCGAAACCATCCTCTGCTAAGTACCTTTTCTGTCCCATCCCCAACAGGGCCCGAACATTTTTCTGGCTTTATATTTTTCCGCATAACACAAAAACACACATGCGCTGACTATTTCCTGTTTGGCAATAAGAAAAGACGGGTTTGCCTATGTGGGAAAATGTTTTTTTGGTATCGATTTAGTTTTTTTCAGTCTATGCTGCCTTGTGTCCACAGACAAAAGCTGGATTTGTATGGTTTGCTGTCTTGTCTTGCTTTAGCTAATGTGCTTGGAAGAGCTATAAATCTGCTTGGAAAACGCTGTTCCACTGTAAGGTGTGGGTTCACGCTTCGGTAGTTTGGATTGATTCAATTGCTTCCGCTAGTCCACACCCGCTTTGCATTGTTTCACATCTGGATGAGCCTGGCGGGGGGTTACTTGGGTGCCGGCCCACCTCCCTGTTTAAATGCTGACCCACAGCCAAGCATCCCCCTCTATGATTCCAGCTCGTGGTAGGGTCACAGACTCCAAGTCTATGGCAGTGGCCACTCCTAAAAGTAAAGATGGAAACCCGTTTCCTTGCCCAACCCAGCCAACCCCATACCAGTATGCACCTAGGCGCTTGAAGAATATATGATCCACAACATTGACTCCCAAATAAAGTGGGGGCCGCCTTTGGTATCTCATTGATTGAAAACAACCATGCTCCAGAACTTGTGATGATCCTGAAAAGCCCAGGCCTGCGCCAGCCCAATAGAGCCACAGATCCTGAACCAAAGCCACAAGACTGCCCCATAGCCTGCTGGTGATTTTAGAAGTCGGAGCCCCGAGGCCTTGCACTCCACTAAAGGTACTGCTGGCAGGAACAGCTTCAGAGTCCCTGACTGGGCCAGACACATTATTTAAGCCAGAAAGAGACATAGGCAGTTGTCAAGTACCCCGGGTGAATTCCAGTTTGGCTGTTACATTCCTCCCTGGCTTGTACCTGGATCCGGCTTTCCCCATCTGCTCCTCATTCCTGATCTCTCCCTCTGGTCTTTGACTCCAGCTTTGACCCTGGCTCCTGCTCTGACCAACCAAGCCACAGTTGTGACAAAGGCACCATCCTTTGGGGGTCACAGTTTGATCAGTGCCGCATGAGGTAAATTGCCCAAATGAGGTGACGGAGACATTTCACAACGCATAAACTTTATAAAGTCATGCATGTGGGATGAAAATTAGAGTCATTTTCCATGAGACTTGGTTGTATTTCACAGCAGAATTGATTTAAACCAGTCACTGCACATCTATTTTGTATAGCACGTTGTACTGATCATCACCAGATAGGATAAATGAGAACTGGAGGGAAAAGACAGGCCATTGGCAGGCCCATTGCGAGGTAATGCAGGCTTCTCAGGGCCATTCTGTCACAGAGTGTGGGGGAGTCAGGGCCCTGCACCCCTCACTTCCTGCGATTCACTGTGACTCTTATCCAGCCAGTAACACAGAAGGTTTATTAGATCTAGGAACACAGTCCAAAACAGAGCTTGTGGGTACAGAAAACAGGACCCCTCAGTCAGGTCCATCTTGTGGGGTAGGGAGCCCAGATCCCGGTTCTGGGCCTCCCTCCATTTCCCCAGCCAGCTCCAAACTGAGACTTCCTCCAGCCCCTCCTCTGGCCTTTTTCTCTTTTCCCAGGCAAGGAGGCCACCTGATCGCTTTGTTCTCCAACACCTTCAGTTGGCACCTTGCAGGGGAGGGCCCCAGGCCATCAGTTGTCAGGAGACAGGGTGTCGGCATCACACCTGCCCTCTAGGGCTCTGCAACAATCACACGCCCTTATCCCCCCACCTAGATCCTTAAGAAATGCATAGGGGAAACTGAGGCACCCACACAGTATTCAGACTAAACATTAAGAACATTCCCACTTTGTCACACACCCATATATGAGCGGGGTTTTCCTTCCATTCTTACACCAGCTTGGGGGGTGGCGGGAGCATCCCGGTGAATAGCAGGGCTGTATATCTTCCCAGTTTTCCCATTGCCTTTTTGAACCGGACCCTTCTCTGCCTCTTGGGGAAATCCCCCAGTGTGACACCCTCCCACGTAAGGACCGCCTGCTGAGGGGCACATGCAGGAACTAACTTGCCACGGAGGCACCGCTGTTGTAATAATTGGGGCCTTTCCGGGAAACGCTCGCTGAGCTCATGGGTCTGGCCAGGGAGAACCTAACCAGGGCCCAAGGGAGGCAGAAGATCTGGTACCACCGCTCAGCCTATGGAACCGGGGACCAGGTGAGGGGTCTCATCCCAGTGAGGAAGAATAAGCTGTAAGCTGCCTGGCAGAGGCCCTTCAAGGTCATCCAGCAGCTGAACGAGGAGAACGATGTGGTGGAACTGCCCAACCGGGCTCACAGCCACGGAGAGGACCAGGTCAACATGATGGAACCGTACTGTGACAGGGAGGGGCTCGTACCGTCCGTGTGTGGCCAGTGGGAGAAGGGGGAAGATCCCCTGGTGGGTCTCTTCCCTGAGAGTGGAGCCAGCCCCTTGCTGGAATCAATTCCCCGCTCTGACCAGCTAACCCCTGCCCAGCAGGCAGAGATCAGAGAGGTGATGCATTTGTACCAACAGCTGTTTTTCCAACCGGCCCGGGCTCACAAACTGAGCTGTCCACTGGGTGGAGATGGGAGCCAGCCCTCCCATCAGGTGTTCCCCATTCCGAGTAACTGGGAACAGAGCCCAGGCCCTGGAGGGAGAGGTCAGAGACATGCTGGCTTCAGGGGTGAAGCAGCCATGCACCAGCCCCGGGGCCTCTCCTGTGGTGCTGGTCGCCAGGAAAGATGAGCTGATCCGAATCTGTGTGGACTATCGGAAGCTCAATGCCATCACCATGTCTGGTGCCTACCCCATGCCTAGGCCTGATGAGATCCTAGACAAGTTGCAGGGGACTCGGTACCCCATGACCAGGGATTTCACCAAGGCTACTGGCAGGTGCCTTTGGATCCAGATGCCAGGTTGAAACCTGCTTTTGTCCCCCTTTGGGGCTGTACAAATCCCTGGTCCTACCTTTCGGACTCAAGGAGGCACCGGTCACCTGCCAGCGCCTGGTGGATCAGTTACTGAGGGGGATGGAGAATTTTACCCTAGCGTACATTGATGATATTTGTGCCATTAGCCAGACCTGGGAGGACCATGTGTCCCCGGTGAAGAGGGGGCTGAGTCACCTCCAGGATGCAGGACTGACTGTAAAAGCTGGGAAATGCAAGGTGGGGATGGCAGAGGTGTCGTACTTGGGCCACAAGGTGGGGAGCAATTGCCTAAAGCCAGCCAAGGTGGGGGCGATCAGAGACTGGCCTGCTCCCCAGACTAAGAAACGGGCCCAGGCCTTTATTGGGACGACAGGGCACTACTGGAGGTTTATGCCCCACTTTAGCTCCGTGTCAGCTCCCATCACTGAGCTATGCAAGAAGGGGAAGCCAGACAAGTCGGTCTGGACCAGGCAGTGCCAGAGGGCTCGCTGCACGCTGAAGGAGGATCTGGTCAAGGGCCTGGTGCTGGGAAACCCAGACTTTGACAAGCCCTTGATGGTGTTCACCGATGCCTCAGACACAGGGCTGGGCATGGTCCCAATGCAAAGGGGGAGAAACAACCCATCATGTACCCGAGCAGGAAGCTGCTGCCCCGGGAGCAGGGCTCTGTGGCCAGAGAGAAGGAATGCCTGGCCCTGGGGTGGGCTCTTAAAAGGCTGCAGCCGGATCTATTTGGGCGGCGCTTCACTGCGTACACTGACCACTTGCCTGCCGTGGCTGCACCAGATGCAAGGGGCCAATGTCAAGCTCCTGAGGTGGACTCTGTCCCTCCAGGAGTATGAGATGGAGGAGGTCCATGTTAAGGGGAGTGCAAATGTTCTAGCTGACACTTTGTCCCAGAGAGGGGGGCCTGAACTTCCCAAGGCCACTGGCTAAAGTGACCCTGCTCCGTTCGGTCTCAAAGGGAGGAGAGATGTGACGAAGTGGGGATTTTCCCTTGTTATGTTGTGTGAGAGTCTTACTGTTGAACCTATGTGAGTTTTTCTGTTTTGCATGAACACTGTGTGTACCTCGTTTTCCCTGTGTGCTACACCAATACCTCGGTGGTGGGAACAGGGGTGTGTGAATTTGGCTGAGACCTCTGGGGCAGGCTGCACATAGGCTCTGACCAGTGCCCTTCGTAACCTGAGACCCAGGAGGGGGATGCGACCAGGTGACTCTTTGACCTGGAAGCTAGACAAAGACAAGGAGGGGCAACGGGGGTGTCTGAGGTCGGGTCACTGGAAGCTGGCAGTCTGCTTGTGGGGACTGGAAGAAGGGGAGTCCAGGCTGCCTGGCCCAGGACTCCCCACGATGGACTTGGCTGAAAGTCACTGATTTCTGTGATAGCAAGCTCTGTTCTACGCTGTGATCCTGTCAACTAATAAACCTTCTGTTTTACCAGCTAGTTGAGAGTCACATCTGACTGCAGAGTTGGGGGGCAGGGCCCTCTGGCTTCCCCAGGAGCCCCACCCAGGCGGACTCACTGCAGGAGGCGCACAGGGATGCTGAGTGCTCCGGGGTCAGACCCAGGAAGGTCAAAGTTGTGTAAGCTTCTTGCCCCGGAAACAGTCTGCTCAGAGAGAGGAGGCTCCCCCAGAGTCCTGGCTGGCTTTTTAGGATTTAGTTCTAGAGCACCGCCCTGGTGACTCCGTGACACACGAGCTCCAGTGATCCCTTCAGTACTAGTGAGAAATAACCCCCCTCTCCCCTTGCTTAATTTGTAATGAAAGAGGTGCTGGGGATCAAGCCATTTTTTTGTATTAATAACTGAGGCAGCAAGCATAGAAGTGCCAGGACTATGAACTACCAACCTTATCCCCAGCAAGGTGGGACACAAATTAAGCACTACCCCCCACAGTTTGGAAACAAGAGCATCCCATCCCAAGCAGTTACCAGCGCCTTCCTGCACATGATCTAAAATTAGCCCCCAAGCGCCAAAATTCCCTCTTATGCATTTAAAGTCGAAGGCTGGCTCAGGATTGGCTGAGGGTGCGATGCGCTGTGTCTCATTGGTGGGAGGGGAAGGCGCTGGAGAAGGGGGCGGGAGAGGGAGTCCCCGCCGGCTTCCGTCGCAGTTCTCCCTCTGGTCGGATTGCAGCCTAGTTAAGCTCTTGCTGACAGTCCTAGAGCACATTCGGTTTTGTGCTGGTCGGAGACTCTATTAAAATGTCTGGTCGCGGCAAGGGCGGAAAGGGGCTGGGGAAAGGAGGCGCTAAACGGCACCGCAAGGTTTTAAGAGACAACATCCAGGGCATTACGAAGCCTGCGATCCGTCGTCTGGCTCGCCGCGGCGGGGTGAAGCGGATTTCGGGGCTGATCTATGAAGAGACCCGCGGGGTGCTGAAGGTTTTCCTGGAGAACGTGATCCGTGATGCGGTGACCTACACCGAGCACGCCAAGCGCAAGACGGTGACCGCCATGGATGTGGTGTACGCCCTGAAACGCCAGGGGCGCACCCTGTACGGCTTCGGGGGTTAAATCTCTAGCCCAGGAAACGGCACAACTATTGCAACCCAAAGGTCCTTTTAAGGGCCACCCACTTCTACACAGAAAGAGCTGGTTTTGCCAGGTATAAACTCTAGGTGTTTGTGTTCAAAATTGTAGTTTGCTAGTCTTGCAAAAAATTTTCTGTTACAGTTGTTTGGCGTTGTATTAAGGAGATAGTTGCACGTGTTCTCTTGAGTCTCCTGAGCCACTCTGCTTTTAGGTTTCCTTCGTTTCAATATTTTTGAATTTGCTTAAATATAAACCAGCTCATCTATACCCTGAGCCCAAATAGCTCACTGATGGGTTTCAGAGGGGTAGTTGTGTTAATCTATATCAGCAAAAACAATGAGGAGTATTTGTGGCAATTGTATAGTCTAGTCAGAACAAGGAATTTCAATGCATTTCTGAAGCTCTTCTGCTCTATCATTCTTGTATTGGGATAATGTAACAGCGATTTCCCTGTGGCTGAATAGGTGAAACGCTGTAGGGGTGTAATAGCTCTTAAATGCTCTATCTTTTGATTTTTCTCTGCAGAGACTGTTAGAAGACCGCGCTTGCGATGTAAAACCCTTGTGGGGTAACACTAGCTGTGAATTGTTGGATTTGTGACTTTTATTTGGAGATAAGTCTTCCTACTCCACTGTCCCTTTGAAACATTTTGAGGCTAGTTTGTAAGCAAACAGCTTCCTTGCATTCAGCAGGAAACTGCATTTGGGTAACTGGGGAAATCTATTTTCATAGTAACCTGATGGTGACTGAAATTGTCATGATTTTCCTTCCCCAAAGAACGGTCCCTTGCAAGTCTTTGGGTAAGAGTCCGTAGGGAAGAATTTGAAGCTTCTTAAATTCCTCTACATTTCATCCTCCAACCCCCCATTTGTGATCAGACGTTTGCACCACTTCCTTTCACCTCAGCTCTGTCCACCTGCTGCAAAAGCTTTGTTCTGCCCAGTGCAATTGTCTTGTTCCCAGCTTGTCCAAGACTGGGAACACTTACACTATCCCGGCAAGTGACTAAGCAAAAGAACAGATGTCTAATATAGCCTGTAACTGAGACCGGCTTAGTTCCTTCTCAGCTATTTAACAGCACTTTTTTGTGCCAAATAGTTATTGAAAATTCAGATCTTAAGTTGTCAGACATCCCACGGCCCAAACAGACCGATATCCAGGCTGCAGTGCCATTGAGGCAAGATGGACCCCATGTGATTTCTTTTAGCTAAAGAACCTCCTGTCAACCCAGTACCCAATTTGATAAGACGGTTTCACCCATTCTGTATCATCGCTATCTACACGCAGTGGTGATAGGGCACTTGTTTGTTTTATAAACATACTTAACTTTGGCTTATCTGAGGGCTCGTAGATTCTGCAGGTTCTCTCCCCTCATGCCATCTAGCATTAGCAAGAGCTGAGATGTTCTTTCCCAGTAAGGCAGTATCATGCACAGAAAAGAAATCATCCTAAATTTTCCTTACCTTCTTGACCACTCCCTGGACACTCAGACTTAAGTGGCCATTCTTCAATTTAAAAAAAAACTTCAAAACCAGACTTCAACGAGAAACTGCTAGGCCTGAATAAAGACTGGGAGTGGCTGGGTCACTACAAAAAGTAATTTGACCTCTGCTGATACTCACCCCTTCTTGTCAACTGTTGGAAATAGACCCTCTGTTGCTTTTTACAGATTCAGACGAACACGGCTACCCCTCTGATACTTGAAAAAGCATGTAACTGTTAATATCCCTACCAGATTTAAGCACAACGTTAATATATCCCTGTCACGATACACAAGACCAACTCTTTCTATGCAGGAGTGAGTGGCCCTTAAAAGGGCCTTTGGGTTGAATATTTTTTTCCCGCTCGGTCCCAGGGGGAAAATCAACCCCCGAAGCCGTACAGGGTGCGGCCTTGGCGTTTTAGGGCGTACACCACATCCATAGCAGTCACGGTTTTCCGCTTGGCGTGCTCGGTGTAGGTCACCGCATCGCGGATCACGTTCTCCAGGAAAACCTTCAGCACCCCGCGAGTCTCTTCATAGATCAGCCCCGAGATACGCTTCACACCGCCGCGCCGAGCCAGACGGCGGATCGCAGGCTTCGTAATGCCCTGGATGTTATCCCGCAGGACCTTCCGGTGCCTCTTAGCACCTCCTTTTCCTAGGCCCTTTCCGCCTTTCCCGCGTCCAGACATGGTAACGCCAACAGAACAAAACACTGTAATTCTTTTCACCGCTGCTATCACGGCTTAACTAGCCTGTGATCGGACCAGAGGGAGAACTGTGAGGGAAGCGGGCGGCAACTGTCTCTCCCGTCCCTTTCCCAACCCTACCTGGTGACGCGACTCGACACCCACCAATCAGACACCGAGTACCGCACCCCAGCCAATTAATAGCCAGCCGTTAACTTTAAATTTGGAGCCCGGACTCATTCCTGAGCATGCGCAGAAAGGAGCCGCAAAACGCGTGGGAATAAACACTCGTCTCCGTCTGAACACGCCGGATGGGGGGCGGGGAAGGAAGAGATTTTTCGGCCCCTGGGCTTGTAGGACCCAGGATCCCCCACCTCCCGGTGCAGTATGTGGTGGGGGAGCTACTGCGCCCCGCTCCCCAGCGGCCCGCGCTGTAGCAATCCCGTGTTGGAATGTGGCATCACCTCAACAGGGAGGGCGAAACTCTAAACCAGAGACACTGAGGGAATGTGGCATCGTGCTAGAAGTTTTAATGTCCGTCCCTCTCCCCAAAATCGCTTCTGCCACTGTACTGCGCGCAAGGCCGGGGCTACACGTCTCCTTTCTTCTGCTCGCACTCGAGAATTTTTCGCTCCTCTTTTCTTCTGCGTGTAAACGCAGAGAGTTCCGAATTCTCTCTAGTCCCAACACCATGGGTTCAGCGAGTTTTGAGTAAATCGAAATCCTTCCGGAAAAAAAAAAAATCTGTTCGCAGAACTAGTTACATCCTTAAAGTTTGCATAATTTTTGCAGGACCAGGGTAGAAAGCAGTTTTTACCCTCCCCCCGATAAGTTTGTGAGTTCCCTTATTGCGAGTAAACGAGCCCATTACTACACCCCTATAGACCACTTCACTTCTATCTCAACACAGCAGTGCAACAAGCTCTTTCCGTGGACGAGTGGGTGGCCCTTAAAAGAGCCTTTGGGTTGAATAAAAAGCGTTTCACGCTTTAAAGAACTGAATCAGCCTCCGAAGCCGTACAGGGTGCGCCCCTGGCGTTTCAGGGCGTACACCACATCCATGGCGGTCACCGTCTTGCGCTTGGCGTGCTCGGTGTAGGTCACCGCATCACGGATCACGTTCTCCAAGAAAACCTTCAGCACCCCGCGGGTCTCTTCGTAGATCAACCCCGAGATGCGCTTCACCCCGCCGCGGCGAGCCAGACGGCGGATCGCAGGCTTGGTAATGCCCTGGATGTTATCCCGCAGGACTTTCCGATGCCTTTTAGCACCGCCTTTCCCCAGCCCTTTACCCCCCTTTCCGCGACCTGACATAACTACACAAACAATACGAAACGACCAAAGGGAAATGGTTTTCTTTTACAGCTATGACAAGGGTTTATATAGGCTATAGTCCGACCGGAGTGAGAACCGACACGCAAAAAAGTGGGACACCACATCTCTCTCCGCTCGCTCGCCCCGCCCCAGGTGACGTTGACTCTGTCGCTCACCAATGAGACACTTAGCATCACTCCCTGGCCAATCATTAGTCAGCAGTTAACTTCAAGTGCAGCCTCGGCTCCCTACACCTTCACCCACACAATGATCAGAGAGTTGCTCTACAAACAATGCTTCACGTTGGGATGGGGATGGGGGTGGGGACAAGCAGGCGGGAGAATATCTTTCTCACTGACCCAGATCCCTGTAGGACCGTAGTTCTGAAATGTTTGTACTGGTGACCCCTTTCACATAGCAAGCCTCTGAGTGCCACCCCCCCTAATAAATTAAAAACACTTTATCAATTATCAATGCTGGAGGCAAAGCAGGGTTTGGGGTGGAGGTGACAGCTCGAGACCCCCCATGTAATAACCTCGTGACCCCCTGAGGGGTCCCCACCCCCAGCTTGAGAACCCCTGCTGTAGGACTTGGGAACCAGCCCTGAATGAAATGAGCCATGTGGGCAGTACAGTGGTTCTGGAACAATTTGTATAGTGAGGGGTGTGGAGAGCCATTGCACCAAACTGTAAACTCTGTACATGACTGAAACCATTTCAAGCCCGAGGGCTGCAGCATCACCCTGAGTACCAGCACCTGTGAAAAGACAAGGCTGCCAAGATCTTTTCAGCAGCTGGGAGCAATGTTTGACCTGACTCTGAACAATCGGATGATGCAGTTCTCCCACGAAAAGCGCACAGAAGGGAGTTTGCAGTCAGCCTCCAATTGAGCCTGCAGTCCATCCAACATGTGGATTCCACGCTACCTGTGGTGCTAGAGAGCCCGCTGGTGGGGCCGCTAATAAAGGAGGCTTATCACCCTTCTACCCCACTGGGGGATTTCGTTTTGCTTAATAGAATGTTCATAGAATCATAGGACTGGAAGAGACCTCGAGAGGTCATCTAGTCCAGTCCCCTGCACTCATGTGGGGGCCCCAGTCACAGCACAGGCCCCCATTGTGCTAGGCATTGTACAAACATAGAGACGGCCCCTGCCACAAGGACCTTACAACAGAAGATGAAACACTTGTTACATTTTGATAGCAGCCCTTTCCTGCTTGCTCCCATTCTGCCAATCATGCTTTAGAGCAGCGGTTCTCAAAAAGTGGGTCGCGACCCCATTTCAATGGGGTCACCAGGCTGGCATTAGACTTGCTGGGGCCTGGAGCTGAAGCCAAAGTCCAAGGGCTTCAGCCCTGGGTGGCAGGGCTCAGGTTACAGGCACGGGGCTGAAGAAGCCCTTGGGCTTTAGCCCCTCTGCCTGGGGCAGGTTCAGGCTTCGGTCCCCCCCTCCTGGGGTCATGTGGTAATTTTTGTTGTCAGAAGGGGGTCACGGTGCAATGATGTTTGAGAACCGATGTCCTAGAGGAATACTCCCTAAACATCTGGCCAGCTACCTCCTTTTCCTCCTGGAAATCCCGCCTTCAGCTTTTCCTCTGATGCGACGATGCCTCCAAAAAACCTCGACATCCCTGAAAAGGGGGAGAGCGAGGTCACACTGGATTTTGGTTTGTATTTCTCTTCCAAATCGTCAGGGAGATTGTGTGCAGAGAAGGAAGGGGAAGTACAGTGAATGGGGCGGGATCTGAGGGGCGTGAAAGGCAGTGCTTAATTTGTAATGAAAGCAGTGCCGGGGCTCAAGCAATGAGGCAGTGGGATTCAAGCAATTTTTTTTGACCATTCATAACTGATGCAGCAAGCCCAGATGTGCCAGGGCTAGGAATGGCCAAGCCTAGAGGTGCTGGGGCTCCGTGAAAAGGTGGCTGAAAATAGGGGAATGGGACTTGGTCAGGGTGGAGGAGAAGAATTGTCTTGGCTAGGAAAATGGCCGACCAGAAGAAGAGAATTAATTGGTAGTGGCAGAAGTCGGCATGATCAGAGAAGTCTTTCCACAGATGCTTGGTGGGAATCAAGGGAATGGATGTTGGGGGGTGTCACGGAGTCCCCCAGCGATGCTCTGGAACTGCTCCATATGAAGCCAGGCAAGACTCTGGCGGAGCCTCTTCTCTCTGAGCAGACTGTCATCAGGGCAAGAAGCTTACACAGCTTCGACCTTCCTGGGTCTGTCCTCAGAGCATTCAGCATCCCCGTCCACACCGTGTACTTCCCGCAGCAAGCCCGCCTGGACAGGGCTCCTGGGGAAGCCAGACAGCCCTGCACCCCGACTCTGCAGTCAGACGTGACTCTCAGCCAGCCGGTAAAACAGAAGGTTTATTAGTCGACAGGAAAACAGCATAGACCAGAACTTGTTATAACAGAAATCAGTGACTTTCAGCAAAGTCCATCTTGGGGAGTCCTGGGCCAGATGCCCTGGACTCCCCATCTTCCAGTCCCCCCAAGCAGACTGTCAGCTTCCCCACCTCAGACACCCCCGTTGCTCCTCCTTGTCTTTGCCAGAGTCACCTGGTTGCATCCCCCTCCTGGGTCTCAGGTTATGAAGGGCACCTACATACAGGCAGCTATGGAAGCCTCACCTGCCCCAGAGGTCTCAGCCAAAGGCACACACCCTTATTCCCACCACCGAGGTATTGGTGCAGCACACAGGGCAACTGAGGAACACACAGTATTCATGCAAAACAGTAAAACTCACGTAGGCTCAACAGTAAGACTCACATACAACATAAGGGAAAATGCCCACTTCGTTGTGTGGGGTTGGGGGGTAAGCCAGGGCTGGGAGTTGGCCGCATGGAGCTTGCCGCAAGACAGAGGGAAATAGAGCCAAGAGCGGAGAAGGACACAGAATGGAGAGAATCACCAACAGCAGCAGAAGAGAAAGCAGGGCATTGGCAGAAGCAAAATCACTCAGCACAGGTGGGCTGAATGTCACAAATGGGCAGGCTGGCACAGGAGAGGGAGAGGGCTCGTAGATGGTGCTGAAAGACCAGGCGACGGTCAGCGACGGTTGAAGATGAGAAAGGTCGAGGGAATGGCCATGTTGATGGGTGGAAGAGTCGGTCAGCTGGCCCGTGGCCACGGAGGAGCTGGGTGGGTTGAAGGAAGAGGAGGGTGGCTGCAGATGCCATGTGAGCCAGAGGGACCCAGAGCTCTGTGAGAGGAGCTGGAAGGAGGAGGAGATGAATGGGTCATAGAAGGCTCTGAACTTCTTTGAGACGGAGCAGCATTCCAGAAAACAAGAAAAGGTGGAGGGGCAGAGGGGATGAAGGGGTTGTTGCTGGTCTGAGTTCATGACTCAGGATTGTCAAAATAACAGGCTCAATCAGAAATATTTAATCTAAAATAATCAGTCAGAGAGTAGTACAGCCCTACCCAGATTACAGAAAGAAATAGATAATTTACCACCGTTTGTTGTCAGACTAAGAGCTGGATCTGTGTCTTGCCTGCATCTGGAAGCGACCGGCACTCTACTTCCTCCTCCCCCTCCCCCCCCCACACACACACACACTAAATTCCCATATCAGTGTCATTATAGGGTTTCAGACAAAGGAAATCTCATTGCCAAGAATATTCTCCCAGAAACATATGTCCTATCTGTGCATTCTTAGTTTGCCTGAGTCGTGTGTGAAGGCCTGTGTGAAGCTTGGAGGACTAACAATTCTGCAAGCTAATCCTTCTTACCCCACAATCATAGAATCATAGGACTGGAAGGGACCTCGAGAGTCGCCTAATCCAGTCCCCTGCACTCATGGCGTGACTAAGTATAGTCTAGACCATCCCTGAAAAGTGTTTGTCCAACCTGCTCTTAAAAATCCCCAATGATGGAGATTTCACCACCTCCCTGGGCGATTTATTCCAGTGCTTAACCACCCTGACAGTCAGGACGTTTTTCCCAATGTCCAACCTGAACCTCCCTTGCTGCAATTTAAACCCATTGCTTTTTGTCCTATCCTCAGAGGTTAAGAAGAACAATTTTTCTCCCTCCTCCAGTTGTAACAACCTTTAATGTACTTGAAAACTGTTATCATGTCCCCGCTCAGCCTTCTCTTCTCCAGACTAAACCCCACTTTTTTCAATCTTTCTTCCCTGTTGATTCCACATCGGAAAACACTGGCTGAAACAATCATCCCATATTAGTTTCCCAAATCTATATATGCATATATCAGCTGTGTGTGTGTGTGTGTGTGTGTGTGTGTGTGTGTGTGTGTGTGTGTGTGTGTGTGTGTGTGTGATAGAGGTACATAAAATTATGAGTGATGTGGAGAAAGTAGATAAGGAAAAGTCATTTACTTATTCCCATAATACAAGAACTAGGGGTCACCAAATGAAATTAATGGGCAGCAGGTTTAAAACAAATAAAAGGAAGTTCTTCACACAGCGCACAGTCAACCTGTGAACTCCTTGCCTGAGGAGGTTGTGAAGGCTGGACTATAACAGCGTTTAAAAGAGAACTGGATAAATTCATGGAGGTTAAGTCCATCAATGGCTATTAGCCAGGCTGGGTAAGGAATGGTGTCCCCAGCCTCTGTTTGTCAGAGGGTGGAGATGGATGGCAGGAGAGAGATCACTTGATCATTGCCTGTTAGGTTCACTCCCTCTGGGGCACCTGGCATTGGCCACTGTCGATAGACAGGATACTGGGCTAGATGGACCTTTGGTCTGACCCAGTACGGCCGTTCTTATGTTCTTATGAACGCACACGCATGTTAAGAAGATGGTTTCCAAGAATAGCTGGAGTTGTATAGGCATGAAGGTGCCCAAGATTGTTTCAGATACAGTCTCATTGATAAAATTCCTGAATACTTGTTGGTCAAGGACCAGTGTTCTGAGCCTTCAAGTTCACACATACTCTTTGTTGAAGACACAGATTCTAAGGAATAGTTACTATATACGTGGATGAAATATGCAGAAGAAAGAACGGAAGGGATTCATATTTACCAAAACAGTGTGTGG